TTTTCCATTACTGTGATCTTGAAGTATTCCTACCAATTTAAATAGTTCTCTTTGTCATATTTTGAATATTTTTATTCCTAGATCAAAGATGGCCCCGGACAGCGCTCAGATTCGGCGGCAGGGTGCTCAGGACTTTATGGCTTACTATGAGTTTGCCTGTGCCAGGCAGGAATCTGTCCCCCTTCCTGCAGTTAAAATTAACCTCAACAAAGGGATGCTGGACTTTAATGGAGACAAGCTGAAGCTAACAGACTGGCCACCCGTTCTCAGCTCTATATCCATTAACAAACACCTGCACCACATAGCAATAAGTAGCACATACCAAGCTAGTTTGGCTTCTGGAGAGGCAGGTAAGTTATTGAAACAGTTTATATGATTTTAATTGTCTATGTTCAAAACTTGTTGATTTTCAGATTTTAATTAAAACAACAATGTCACCATTGGTTTCAGATAGAAGATATCTTAAGTCTAGCTTCAGGAGGAAGATTCCAGCTATTCGCTCCAAGGATATGATATTAAAGCTGTGCAAGGCCCTCAGAGAGTGCCTCACTGTCTCTCCCAACCTCAAGACGCTGCAGCTCAATGGACTTCCGCTGAGAGAAAGGGACCTCATCACCCTGACAAAGGTGAAAGCAGAGCATTTTAAAAGCAAAGCATTGTAACTGTTAAATTTTTTAAAATGTTATTCAGAACTCTTTCTGTGTTTGTTGCTTTTTTGTTCACTCTTAGAATGGACATTTATTAAAACAAGTTCTTTGTTGAAATGATCCTAATCTAGGGTTTGGCAAAAAGCACTTCCTTGGAAAACCTATCTCTGGTTAACTGTCCAATCAGTGATGAGGGCTTAGAGGGTATGTGCAATTATATTATTGTCTCCTAATTTTGTTCAGGAAAGGAGTTTGTATTGTATGTTACCTGTGTAACTGTGTGTTCTATATGTTTCTATATGTTTTAGTCATTTGCCAAAGCGTTAAGTATTCTGCTAACATCAGGGCAGTGGATTTTAGTGGATGCAGTCTTACCTGGAGGGGGGCAGAGCACATGGCCAATATTATCAAGGTATAGTATTTGATTTTCAGTGTCATCAGGCAGTCTATTTTATTTTTTTATTGAGAGATAATTATTTAATAATTGTAAACTATCCAGATAATAATTGTTGAAAAAGTTTGTGAGGGAAATCTGAAAAAAAATTGAATTGCACAGTGCAGATTACAGCATGTTTTTTGACAGAGGGATTGTAAAGCTGTATACACACTGGAAGCGATTTTACTTGTTCACTTTCTATGGTCTCTAGTCAAAACGTGGCCTTGAATCGCTTCCAGTGTGTATGCAGCTTAAGCTAGAAGATTTAGAGAGAGAAGTTATCAGTCAGTCAGAACATTTTGTAATAAAAGATAAAAGACAGAATAAGACAATGTGGGCCTTTTCGTTCAGTAATAGAAGTGGAAGAGTCTTAAAATTTTTCATCACAACTTTTGTAAGAATCCTTATATTTATCTTAAAGCATCAGGGTATGCAAAGACATGGTACGGCGTGGGCGGAGTCTCTGAGGTATCGACAGCCGCAGTTTGAGGGTATGGGAGGTCTTCGCCGTGTCACGCTTAACTGTAACACTTTAATTGGGGACCGGGGTGCTGCGGCTCTTGCGAGTGAACTTGCTGAAGACCTCTGGGTTAAAGGTTAGTAGATTTGTGAGTTTGTGGTGTTTGGTTGTGTTTGTTTGTTTTCCTTATTGTACAAATTTTTGATAGGATTTCTGTTTCTGATTTTTGGCTTGTAAAACAGCTCTGGACCTGCAAAGATGTGGTCTTTCCAACGAAGGCGCTCGTCGTTTGCTAGAAGCCTTGAAAACGAATTCTTCTTTGTGTGTGCTGGATATCCGTGGTAACCCGTTAGTTGGTAAGTTGCTACCTCAGTCAAGGCAATAGCATTTTCTTTTTTTTTTCCAGACTTAATAGCACTTTTCCCAATCTGATCAAATATGTTGTTCTTTCCACTGCTTGAGCTGGTTTGTTTTTACGTTTCCATTTGACATATTAATGCAAACCAAATTTTGTGTGTGCGTGGTACTTTCGAATTGTAGAAAAATCATTTGAGTAATACTGTAATTACATCAGTCATGTAGTAGTTCATCTCTAAACCCACGAAACATAAATTTCTAGAAATGTTTCTGGTACT